CGTGCTTTGTTAATACACGTTGTATAGGAAATCAACTTCCGATCTGGCTCCACTATTCCGGCTTTCAGGCGTCATGTCACAATACAGCTGTAAGTTCGAGAATATGAATATAGTTTAGTTATGACTTTGAACTGAAATGACATCGTGAAAATGTTAAATATTGGTCTTCACAGCTTAAGAAAAGGGGATCTGCTCCCTTTATGCACGTTATCAATGTACGTGTATGGCCTCATAACATTCATTTGCTGTCTGTAGATTAAAGTGAATTATCTCACTTCCATTAAAGTCAAATCTAATTTTAGCTCACGCCCTACAATGACCCTCACCATGAGTAAAAACGGTTCTCTCTAATCAAAGGTGGCGAAACTCTGTTAAACCTTCTGTTAGCAGTGCATTAGCTTAATGAAAGTTTCAGGCACGAATCACGTGCTTACACTGAGAGGTCAAACCAGGCAATCTCATAGTGAAAACAATGGAATATCATTACTCAGGACAACTAGAATCAGATTTTTTATTAATCCCACGTTAACGGACCAAGAATGAATCCTTCAAAGGAAAAGGTCTCCGATTAAATTGTTTTATTTGGGTCCGCTCTTTACGAAACATACGACAAGACGCTTATATTGAATAAAAACACTGCATTCTTATGTATGCACACAATAACGCTGACTCCATGGATCTGAACCCTTGTTGAGAAGCCGCCAGTTGTGCAGGCACTCAAGAATTTCCCAAAATGTAGCCCGAAGATTCATTAACGTGTTCACGAGACCTTCTCACTGGTCCCTTTCCTGAAAGATCAGTCCAATCCGTACCACCCCATCTTATTTCTCAAAGATCCATTTTAATATTATTTTCCACCTACGTCTAGGTTTCCCTAGTGGTCTTTTTTCTTCTGGCATCCTCACAAGAATCCTATATGCAGTTCACTTCTCCCCATGCGTGCTATGTTTCCTGCTAATCGCATATACCTTTACTTCATTCTAATTATATTAGACGAAGAGTACAAATTATGAAGCTCCTCATTATGCAGTTTTCTCCAACCTCCCGTCACTTCATCTCTCTTCGGTCCAAATATTCTCCTCAGCACCCTGTTCTCAAAAAATAACTCACATTTATAAAATGCAGCATTGTGTCTCATGAGACTGAGTTATACTCGTATTATGGTGTGCGCAAGATAGATAAGGTTGAGAAACGTTGGCCTTTGTGTCTGCTGTAAGTACGGTTCAGAACAGAAGCGCAGGAGAATCGTTGAATTTAGGTTGGAGGAAGAAACAAGAGTCTAAAGAGAAGTTGTAAAATGAGAAGCTTACTGATTTGCGCTTCCCACTAAATACTTTTACAATGAATAAATAAAGGAGAATGTAGTGTTAGGTGCTTGCGAAAATATGTTCCTGAAGATGCAGGTAGTATAGCTCCTGACATAAAATACCCATCCCATCAACTAGACTGAAGTGTCATAATCCAAGAAACCATAATGTGGAACGGAACACGAGTTATTCATCACAATTTCGTTGCTTTACATGTGAAATTTCAAAGAAATGATACCCTATTCGTCGCGTTTGTTTTGCAAGAAAGCTGAAAAAAGAAATTTGATTTTTGGGTGATATGTATGAATATTAGTATTATCTTGAACTTCGAGAAATAGTGGTCTCTTTAAGATACAACCTGGCGATGTTTTGGAAAGTATATAAGAAATATTAAATTCCCAGAACATCCATTTTGACTGTGTTTACTTCCGAATGTCGACCCTGCAAAGCGGTGTCACTAATTCGAGTCCCTCATTGTGACCTGGGTACCGAAAATTCAGGAAAACGTGACGTGTCTGCTAGAGAAGAAACCCCTTATTTAATGCAGGGACCTTCGGAATATGAATCAAAAAATATATCCCTTGTGCATCCTCTTCCTCCAGTTCAATCAGGCTGATTTTTTGTAGTTTCTATAACGTCACTTTCCTAGCTCAGACTATAACGTCGAATGATATAGTGACCACTGAACGAACACAACACAAAAAACTGACAGGCAATATCGCTGCGTTGGTAAAGTCGGCCGATATAAAAGAAATGTATGCCGCTCCAAGGAAAATTATGCTGAATATTTGATGATAATAATGATAATGTTCAAATAATACTAAAATAAATATTTAGAATATATTTATAGATATATATTTTAAAGAAATATTTTTTTCTGTCCATACCATTCATTAAATTTGCTGATTTTATAATTCATTTAATGACCAACCACCATTTTACTGTCTACATCCCCCGCTAGCTACGGTCCTGCTGACAAGGCAACCAAGGTCGATTAAAATTGTCTATAACAACTGGCGAAAACAATTAAACTGCTTGCAGAAGGCCTTTCTCTTCCAATTTCATTAAATATTTTGTGGGGCAAATTTTGTGTAATTTAATTTTCTGTTGAATATAATACCTTTGGTACATATTATACATAATTAATATTCCTATACGTATAAGATAAATCCCGCGTGAAGCATGGATAAGAGTAATTTATATTCTGCTAAATGTATAATGAAATCAATTTAGTTACAGTCACGCTAATCAATGCTAATATATGAACTTGATACGCCAGTTAATGATGTTCTGCTTTGCGACGGATATCGAGTGACAAATATGTTCAGGTGCAGTATATTAAGTGTTTGGATACATTAAACCAGGCTCTATCTAGTCGGCCATTTTGATTGGAATACTTTTACCCCTTCGATAATAATTCTCCGAAGGTTCACTATTTGTCACGAAACAGAAAGTAAAATGTACAGTTCGTGCCGGCCGCCCTTTAGTCCCAGGAAAATTCCTGGTACTAATTTCTGTTAGAAGCTGAGTCGACACCAAAGCCATAGTGCGGCTGGACGGATTAAGTCAATTGAAAAATCCAATGATCTCATCGGGAATCGAACCCGCGACTTTCCTGCTTGTAGTATATAGCTTTCCAAGTACAAGAAGCTGTGACTTGATGGGTACAGGTCTGATATTAGAGGGTAAAGGAGATTTAGTACTCTTTTTGGAAGGGAACCACGAACAAAATTCCGACTTTCAAGTAGTATAAATGGTTTTATCAGTCTGGCTGAATTTATACAGGAAGAAGCTCCTGGAGAGGACCATCATAAATTTCGGATGGCTCGAGTTCGCGGTCCACCCAAATCAACTTGACAGTTAAACCTGTCAGTCACAACAAGTCAAGGAACTCTGAGGATACATATGAATCCCAAACCTTGCAACATGTAACTATACATAAAACACAGAACCTCGCTGTATATTTTGTTGTGACGTCCTTTCAAGATTTGAAGATGAGGAAAGTTATGCGTCCAAAAACGTCTGCAGTGTTGAAGGCACGTTTCGTTTTTTTGAGAATATGAATCGGCATAACCCGAGAATTCGGGAAAACAACAACCTTCATGAAGTATTTTTTTAATTGGTAGTGGGGTGGGGCTAAGTCCCTTGCACTGCGGCCACTTCTGGCCTATTGTACAAGACCCAGATGATAGGTGAGGGTGATTGTGGAGCAATTGGTGGAATGAAGATTGGCAGGGGAAACCGAAGTACTCGAAGAAAACCCGTCCCAGTGCCACTTTGTCCATCACAAATCCCACTTGGCCAGACCCGGGATCGAACCCGGGCCGCCGCGGTGGGAAGCCAGCGACTAACTGCTTGAGCTATGGCGCGGCCTTTGTGACGCAAATACCATTGACTTTTCCGAAACTTCCTGAGGGCATATGAGTCGCACTGTCTTCAGACACCCGCTGTTTGTTTAACAAAGTGTAGATTCATAAACGTGCATACAGGACATTTTAAGGGACACTCACTTTGCCGTCATGCAACAACTGTACATTATATGTCACAGAAACTTGATTTTATAACATAAACGCATTTACATTCCATTTCCGTGCCTCTGAGATCATGCACAATGTTGAAGTAAAACGTTATATACTGTATTTAATATGCATAATCTGTGTACATAAATAATTTGTTTATTACCTTTAAACTGACAGATGATAACTTGAAGAAACGTTAAAAAATTAATAAAGTAAAAAGAGAAGTAAGGCTGTCCCTGTAACAGGACATTAAGGCCCATTGAGTTATGAGACGTTGAGGGTCCCACAATATCTAGACAATCGGCTCAAAGATAGCGGTAAGGTTGTCATCCTTACGCACCGGCCGCGCTTTACTCTCCAGGAAAATTATTTAATTAATTCCTGGTACTCATTTTTGTTAGAGGCTGAGTGAACCCCAGGGCCATAGTGCGGCCGGAAGGATTAGGTCAATTGAAAAAAAAATCCAGTGACCTCATCGGGACTTGAACCCGCGACCTTCCGGCTTGTAGCATAGTGCCTCAACCAACTTCGCTACCGCGTGCCCCGGATAAACAATTAATACAAATAAATGATAATTTTGTAACTATAAAATTATTTAAATTAATAAATTCCAAAGAATATTGTATAATTGAGAATGAGTGACTTCTTCAGTCAGTGTAACAGGCCACAGTTCTGAAAGAAGCGCATGAGGTACAGAAACCCTCTAAATGATATAGGATTTTGCAGCGTATAAGCCGATAAATTTCCTATGTTGACAGTTCCTACATACATAACTACATGATATTTCAGCACAGAAACAATAAGGAACTCAGCGCAAAACAAAGTGTAAACATTTAGATATGCTGGCAAAATTCATTAACTTGAGATCGGCAGAGCTCAAAACTAAGACTCCGATGTCCATATTTGTGGATCATCGCGCGGTGATACACTGCAATTACATACGAAATAATTTTTCGAATGAATAGCATCATATAATGGAGATTTCCGGAGTTTGCGAATAGTATATAGTTGTTTCACAATGCGAAACTGCACAGAAGTAGCCAAGCAATTATGTTAACACCACCGTGTGCGCTGTCCTGTGTCTCTCTTGTAGCGGGTGCCGTGCTGGAGGAAATGCTGGAAGTAATCGGTGAGCGCCGGGCCCTTCACCGGAGGCACCTCCACATCCTCTTGCAAGAGCAGATCCAGAACATCAATCTGTCATGTGGCACCGGGGACGCTTATCATGGGTTTGAATTTATGAAGGAGCGGTGCAAGGTAAAGGCTGTCACAACTATTAAACACATGTTAGATAATCAGAAGCTTTCGTCCATAATACGTAATTTTAAATGCAGCAGAAATGCAAAGTGTGATATCACAGTTGTAAGCTGGGCGAGCGATATATATCCAGAAAACATATGTATTAATTTCGAGAGCTACCACACAAAGTAAAGAGTGTAGACACATCAAGGTAATCTAGGGTTTCCTATAGAAGACGAAGAACTTCAATAGCATTTAACAGTAAGCCGAAAATCTTGCTGAAAATTTATCCCTTTATATTTGAATTCCAAGTTTATAACAAAAGACACGCTATCGGCCCTAATTAATTCTGTGCCAATTAACAGATACTCTCAAATTCTAGAGGAACGGTATCGTATAGATTCACCTCTCATTCATACGTTTTAATTCTTTGACGCCAATACGTACAAAATAATGGCCATGCGAACTTTTGTGGTGATAGGTGTTAAAAACAATTTATCATAGAGTATTTTTGTGCAGAATCCAGTGCTCTGCCTCAGTCCTCAAATAAATCATAGAAGATAGAAACCTGATATGGTGGTCTCGTTACACAAAGCCAACTTTCACTAGCAGGCTTCTCGTTTATCTCACGCCTTAGGACCGAGACAAAACCAGTTAACGGCATAGAGTAATTTCTGAATTCTACGTTTTAATCAATCAACAGACAAGAGCCAAATGAGGTATCAAAACAGCTGCCTACACTTATAGCAATAATGATATCTGGGTAATAAATTGTATTTTCGTGAGTTGCTAAAACTGTTCTGACTACGTTTGTACAAATGTTACAAAATATAACGTTTTTCTTTTGTAAAAAAGAAAATGAATATCAATATGTCTTTAACCTTTTAAAACAAATGCAATTGGTTTGTTCAGCAAACGTCGCTGAAGTCAGCAATTCCACTAACAGTTCGTACAATGTCAACGTAATATCACAAGTTCAACATTTCCAGTTGCGTTGAGTTACTCAGATTGTTCTTGTGGTGAATGTTCTGCTGACTGTTTATCTCAGCAGCGTTCCGCAAATATAGAAGCCCGCTCTGTCTCTCAGGGAATCTACAACTTACAATTACACTCAGAACATTTCCAGTTGCGTTGAGTTACTCAGATTGTTCTTGTGGTGAATGTTCTGCTGAGTGTTTATCTCAGCAGCGTTCCGCAAATATAGAAGCCTGCTCTGTCTCTCAGGGAATCTACAACTTACAATTACACTCAGAACAGTTTCTGTTGCATTGACTGAATAAGTTACCGTTTTTCCTAGTTTAATTTTTTTTAACTTCATTGCTTGGAATAAGGATTCGTAGAATTTAACTTGGTATAACTGTCGTCCCAACAACAATTTCACAGTTTCAGATTCGCAAAATATGGTGCAATGTAAAGAACGTCTGAATTTGCCAGAGAGCACGGATACTAATAGTAAACTCAAATAACCTGATTTAAATATTATATCATCAGAAAAATGCTACATTTGGAGAATTGTTTTGTATGGGGCTGAAACATGAACACTTAGGGCAGTAGAGCAGAAACGCCTGGAAAGTTTCGAAATGTGGTGTTGGAGAAGGATGGAGAAGATCAGTTGGACCGATTATGTGAGAAATAAAGAAGTGTTATTTAGAGTCAGTGAGCAGAGGAATATTCTACACGAAATAAGAAAACGGAAGGCTAATTGGATTGGTCATATCTTACGCGGTAACTGTCTTTTAAAAGAAGTTATTGAAGGAAAGATAGAGGGGCGGATAGAAGTGACCAGAAGACGAGGAAGAAGACGTAAGAAGATGCTGGATAACCTTGGGGACAGAAGAGGATATTTTCATTTGAAGGAGAAAGCTCTAGATCGCATCAAGTGGAGGAACTGTTTTGGAAGAGACTGTGGACCTGTCGTCTTGACAGATTACTGATGAATGAATGAATCATCAGAAAGAAAACTATATATAGTTATTTATGCAGGCGTCTGAGAGCACCTGTACCCTCACGTAATGAATTTTATCTTCTATTACCAGATTGTGCTTACATTCACAATATCATAATTTATATATTCGATAGTAAACAACTATGAAGGATTTATAATGTACAACGAATATCGCATGTGTCTGCGGAAAAATGGCGCTGCTTGAAATATTTAATTATCAAAGAGCGTTGCTCTTATGTTCTCATCAACAAACCATTATTTTGCCACACTCTACCCCACAGAAGTCCGTAATGGAAATTAAAGCATTTTCTTAGACAATGCCATAATTATTCATATGCAACCACCTAAATTAATATTACGCCTCGCTGCTTCATCATTAGAACTCCGAAGTACAAAACAGATCTCTTTCGAAGAACAGAAATCATTACGTGCTTCGCGATCATTAGCGAGCAATTAAAATGTTGAAGAATATATCTTCTGAGATGTTACGCTGTGTATCTTGGTAGAAGATTGCAAGTGTTTCGGAGGGATATACTGCCATCGTCTTTAAGTTCAAATAAGCAAAAAAATAAAAATAAAAATACAAAGCTAGAAACAAACACAGCTTGTACCTAATGTTCTGCACAATAATGGCGTTGCTAAAGAGATTAATGTTCTTATTACTCATTTAAAAGAAAGAAAGTTTTAAATAAGCTAAGGCCTATAACATGAACTCACATAATTTGACGAGTGAGCGTCATGACGCTCGCGGCGTCGTCATTCTTCTAGCGAATTTCCTGGCTTCATATTTCCCAAAACCACAGTGTGCTCACCATTCGTCGTTCATATATTGTCCAGAGAGTTCGAATGTTCATTTAACCACTGAGTCCTGAACTTCTGAGCAGTTCGCATTCCTTTTTCATTTTCTTCTTCTTTCGCACCAGAAACAGCATTTGCTAACTATTTAAGGGTAACTGGCTTCACATAATTAATCCGATATTGAATTTCACGTAACTTAAACACGTGATACAACTCTACAGCGTTGTACCCAGAACTTTATATTATAATTTATATACGTACCTTGCATACTTATATGGCCTAATCTTCAGCAGCACACTCTCAAATGAACTACGTGTCACAGAATTCTTGGATATGTTATATTAGTATTCACCATACAAGATTCCATTTCAGTCACTTAACTCAATAACACTGCACAAGTCAACTGTTTGCCCATGGACATGCGGCGATCCTGCATTTGAACCATAAGAACCGCTAACGTATGACTCCTCTGACCTAGATGAAAACGGAACTAAAATGTTGAGTTCGTATATCGGACTTCATAAGTCACAAGCTTCTGTAAATGTTTTCACCAGTGTCGTTTAATTACGCCGTACCAATGCAGAAACACAATCGGGCACATTTTACTGACCAGCATTCATAGTCAAAATTACTGTAACTCGGGTTCTAAGTGGAGTCACCAATTGGCACAGCTGTCACTGCGATCACGTGTTCTGTCGGAATCCTAGATGCTGCAGTATCAGGCGACTTGAAGTGGCGTGCGTTACGACCTGGCTCCTCCTTCTCCAACTCCATTTCCGATGAGAAAATTGCGTTCCAGAAAATGCAGAACTGCCAATAAGTAGAGAAGGAACTTTTCTGAAAGCGTTCACGGATGCAAAAGCCATAGATTTTAGTCTGATCATGGAAAAATAACTTTGAAAACCAAAAGCCATACCTGATTCGGCGTTCAAATTATTAATGTAGCCTGATTTATAAACAGAAATCTATATTTGTAACAGAAAAAATCAAAGGCTTATATCACATTCACAACCTGTGTGAGTGGGTTTAGATTGTCAGCTGCTAAGGCTCACAATGCCTGAATAAAAGTAAGATTAATACAATTTTAACTAAACCCAATATTTAATAAAAACACTACACACTTGTCAAACTGAATAATGGTCTGGCTAAAGAGTGTGAAGGTGTAAAAAAGGAACTTATATAAGCATTCGCTTAAAAGTGATTTTAAAATATGCTNCTTAATACAATTTTAACTAAACCCGATATTTAATAAAAAAACACTACACACTTGCCAAACTGAATAATGGTCTGGCTGAAGAGTGTGAAGGTGTAAAAGAGGAACTTATATAAGCATTCGCTTAAAAGTGATTTTAAAATATGCTTTATGAAGGCCATATAGATCTAAAAGAAACAACAGAAAATACAGATTGCTCAAATAGGAAAAGAGAATACAATCAAATCAATAAATGTATGTAGACCTCAACAACAGAAAATCTGGAGTTGAAAAATACCAACAAAAAAAAAAAAGAAGAGCGTGTACATTGGCCAATGAATGCTTGAAATAACAATAAATGTAAATTGTTTCAGAAGAAGAAGAAGAAAACAGGGCATTCAGTAAACCCATTCAACCTCATTCCATGATGGAACGCCACACCGTTAGACACATAACGGAGATTATCTCATGAAAAGTCCAGCAACTCGTCATGACGGCAGTTTGGCGTTCTGTTTCATAAAGCGAGCATTCTCGTATGATATGTAAAATGGCAAGGTGAATTTCATACTGCTCACAAGGAGGCGGCCTTTTGTAAGACGAGTGTGACCAATTCGAAACGGCACCATGATGTCCTCCTCAGTCCTGTCGGAGTTGTGGTACGAAAGCGACAATTGCATTGGCGGTTTGAGGTTCACTCTCTGTGTCCATTGTCTTGCCAGGACGACGTAACGGCGTGAAGAATAAAGGCACGAACATCACTATAGAAGGTTCGGTCTGATGTAAGTACCGAATAGGGCAGCTTCTTGAACGGCTGCATGGGGCAGACCTGTGTGGCTGTGCGTTAAACAAAATGCAATAGTCTTCCGTGCCTTATGGAGAGGGAACACTTGCAGCAAAATCTACGAAAAGGCAGAAGAGTCCAGTAGGTCCCCATGGAGACTGCAAGGCACTTAGGGAGCCTGTGCACAAGAGTTGATATCCCTGATTTTATTTTCGGATGAAAAGAAGAGCTCGGTAAATGGCGTGATTTTGGCCTTATAGACCTTGCTAAATTGGCAGAGGGCAGGACGTATATTATGGCAGATGTTAAGTCTTTCCCGTATTTGGGGAGTGAAGAGTTTTAAGACGCCGTCAGTGTCTTGACTACACACGCCGAATTGTAGGACGATAGATGAAGAATGAATTGGAAATTGTTTTAAGAGAAGCTTCCTAAATCAATGTACTATCCTAGTAATTCAGATCGTTCCTGTCATAACACACGATACTTGCAGGAGCTGGGATAGTTCAACCAGTGTAACGACAGAATACGGACTGAACTACCAGGAATCAGGATTCGATTCCAGACAGGGGAAAGAGATTTCTCCCTTCTCCACACCGTACAGACCGGTACCGCGTCCGTTCAGCCTCCTATCAAATGGATACACGAGACCCTTCCTCCGGAGACTTAAAGTGTTCGAGGTGTGAAGTTGACCACTCACCTACGTCTAGTTAATAGTGTATGGACCTATACCTCCACTCTCCTCCACTTCTTCGTAGCACTATGCTTAAATATTTAAGCACAGGAAGAATTTTACGTTGCCTTACCTTATATTTTAAGTGGCATTTCAATCTTATGAAAAGAATGAAGACCAGTTCTGACGAAAATTAACAACCAACAACATAATTAAAGCGCAAAAAATGCATGGAAAATTTATTATACGTGGAGATCATAACATTCATGGGTTTTCAGTTTGGCAAGGAGAAAACTCATTTACAAGGAGCTGAAATTTTATGTGATCTGCTAATTATTTTCAAAGGAGATGGCCAAATTTCATGAATATCTGCAGGATCATGGAAGTTCTCATGACAATGCACACGGGAGTTTTAATTTTCAACTCAGATTTCAACATAGCAACCATGCGAAATTCTAAATTTGGGGCAACACTAAAGTCAATGAACACATTATTGCAGAAACTTGGTTACACTGGAGGTCTGGGAGCAAAGGTAAGAGCTAGATTGAACTAGCTCATATAGAGTCTAAAGACTGGGTATTTTCATGGCATTCATAAAGCTACTGATTCTGCAGCAGCACAGAATTTCTTGAAATTCTGCTACTGAACTAAAATTATGAGTCTGACGGTAAGTGAATGAGGCATTAATTTCACTAGCTGTGGTTAGGAGTGTGATAATGAATTACCTATTGTTCGGGTAAGTATAAAACATCAGCATGCATGCTGAGTTGCCCAGGTTATGACATATACCTGCATTTGTCCCCAAATCTCAGCAGTGGAATAAACGAGTACAGAGAAGTCTGGGATATAAAGCAAACTCTAATTTACCATCTCCTACTCATAATTCCAGTACAGTAAACTCTTCTTCAATTATTCTCAACTGAGTGTGTTGATGTTTTAGTCCACAAACAATTCAGTACATGGGACCTTAGGTTCTGAATTGTCTGTAGTGTGTTTTTCCATAAACGGGTAACCCAATGACTCCCCATCTTTCCCCATATTTGTGTTATTAACTCAGTTTTGTATGTATTCTGAACCCTGTTTGGTGCTTGCTTGTTTACTGTTTCGTGCAACAGCTCCGCAGCTACTAGAGGACATGCTGGAGGAAGTGAAACACGTGAGACACCTACGGCGCCATCACTTGCACGTTCTCCTCACCCCTCTCCTCACAAACTGGTCCTCTCATGGCATCGGAGACATTCTCATCGCCTTTCGACTTTTGTCCATCCGCTGCAAGGTAAATATACAGAGCGGATGTTACTGTGTGTGTTTTCATTTCTAATGTTTCCCAAGCCTGGAGAGATATTAACATACTGTCTCAGAATGTCGTGTCTTTTCGTGTGGCACAAAGCGTGTGTTGCTTTTTGCATAATCGTATTTCAGTTGATAACCTTTACGGAATATAGAGCAACTTCATACACAGGCTTAGAATAACATGCATATCCGCTAGGCCTGTACCGCTGAAATTATACAGTTTAAAACCCCATGTCTGACGACTGTTTTACTTTTTAAATACATACAGACCACACAATTGAAAATGTGCAGCAGCTATAGAAGGGCGAAGTAAGCAGAAACTATCGAGATGGCTGCCTCTGTATTAGGCTTTTCATGGATAGAATAATTCATTCTGTGCATACACGCATAATGTGTGTACTCATTTTTCGCACACATCTTGATGAAGGTATAACCACTATTTCATGGCCCTTCAAGTTACAGGCCCAAAATAATATCATTGTACCAAAAAGCAAGTAGATATTACATGTGGGGGATTACGCAATTCTCCATGATCTCGAGGATACAATCTAAAATATAAACAGTTAACTTTTTAATGCAGATTTCAGTGGCCGTGCAATATAACCTTCGGAAAATCTGAAACTATTTAAATATTCGCTAGTTCGAATTCTGCTTGTGACACAATAATTTCCTTTCTTTCTGATTTTTCATCTAAGTTTTCATGGTTCGTGTTGAATGATCGCCCGTCCAAGTAATCCAACCATTTGTCTGAACCAGATTTAGGAAAATTCTGAAATTAAAAGTTCAGCTATCTAATATGGTTGTAGCGCTAAGGGGAAGAAATATATTGCAATGCCTTTCGTTATTTGAATCGGCTGTTATCTAACCGAACGTCACCATTTATGACCTTAATGCCAATTTCGCTTTGTCCACGTGTTGTTTCACTGTAGTGCCATTGCACTGTCCTCTACTCAAATTCGAAATTTCACTGAACTGCGAGCTGCTTTAGATAAACCGCTGACTTGCTACCAGGCTGCACGGATTAACTCATGTTTCGCAGCACTTCCCGCTTAGCAGCTGGTTCTACACACGTCAGCATTACTCTTCCTCTCAACTCAGACCGCCCTCTTGAGAATCCCATTGCTTTCTATAGGCGTGGTTCTTCTGGAAATTTCTCCTAGATTCTTTAACGCCCTCGGTCGTCAGCCGCTGGCGAACTCTCTAACAGTACAGAAGGTGGAGGGAATCTCGATATTTCTATACGTTGTGCGTTCAAGTTCTAAGGTCTCCGATTTTTTTTCTCACACAATAATCATACAAAAAATTTGAAACTTCTGTCACTTTTCAACGTAATCTCCCTGCAGCCGTACACATTTTTCACAATGTCGACGCCATGATTCAATGGCCGCTGCGAACGCTTCTGTAGGAGTCTGTTTTGACCACTGGAAAATTGCTGATGCAATAGCGGATTGAAAAACGACATCCATGTCTCATCCATTGTCACAGTTGATGAAAAGAAAGTCCCATTCATGCCTTCATCATTGCCATGCGTGCAGCCTTGTGGTCATCCGCCAAAATTCGTGGAACCCACCTGGAGGACACTTTCCGCATTCGCAGGTCTTCATGCAGGATTTTGTGCACAGATCCCACGGAAATGCCAACTTTGGGGGCGATGTTTTCCACACTCAATCGGCGATCCTCCAAAACAACTTTCTCAACTCGCTCGACCATGTTGTCAGACCGGCTGGTGCGAGGCCGAGATTGTTTTGGTTCGTTGTCACACGACGTTCGGCCTTCTTTGAACTGTCGCGCCCACGAACGCATATTTCTCACATTTATGACACCATCACCACATGTCTCACTCAACTGGCGATGAATTTCAATGGGTGTCGCACCACGCAAGTGGAGAAAACGAATGATTACTCGCTGTTCTTGTAACGAAAACGTCGCCATTTTAAGTATCAAAAACACTCCTCACACTCGCCGCTACCACTAGAGTTCTGTGNTACGATAATATGACAGCGGTCTTCTGGGTTGTAGCATCGCGTAGTCTGGTAGATACGTAGCTTTATTTCGGAGGAAACAGCTGCCACATTTGTTTAATCTACCAAACTACAGTCTAGAAGATGGCATTCTTAATAGCTCATACGAATACGATTAGTATCCGTACTGACTGGTAAGATATATGCCACAACAAGCTACATTATATTCTGAACTGTTGCAGATTGTCACTTCAGATTCATGCCCCTGAATTATGATTGGCTGCGATGTTACTTTGTTCAGTCACTACTGATAGCTGCTGTTTTCTTCAGCCACTACTTCATCCGTTATAATCAGTGGCAGTGGTACTGGTACAAAATGTCCAAAATTTCGACCTCTACAAACTCGCTGTTTGACAGCAAGTGATATCTATTGTCATTTTGCCTAAATTACGTAGCAGTGAAACATGAGGAGGGAAGTCTTCCCTGCATTTAAAATCCTCAGAGAGTTCACATGTATACAGAGTGTCCGAGAAAGAATTCCTGAGTTCTAGTTATAAATACTTACTAACTGCTTTTATATAACAATTTTTTATTACCAAAACTATTAGAAAATATTATGAAGTTTTATTATCATTCAGTACAATTCAATTTGAACATCACTGAGAATTATACATACGTCGAAACGGAATTCCGCTTCACCCCACATCCGAGATGGCACATTCACAAGCACCGCACGACAGCTGTTGAAATATTTCGACTGAAATTGGGAAGAGATTCTACCCTTTCGCTATCCACGATGTCTGCAGGAGAAGTCCATGGATAAGTCAGGGTTCTGTGGTGGCCATTTAATCGTCCAAGAAAACGTTCGTACAGAGAAGTGTGTGCAATGCTGAAAATGAAGCCGCCATCTTCAGCTGCTGACAGCTGATGTTGATGGCCCCATCAACAGCTCATTTCGGTGCTGTTGTAACCACTGTTCTTGGCGAAAAATTTCCTGGTCATTGGATCGGCAGGGGAGGGCCGGTTAATTGGCCCCCAAAGAGTCATGACTTAATGCCCATGGACGTCTCCTCGTGTATAGAGAAAAGGTAGAGTCTTTCCCCGATTTGCTCTGAAAGATTTCAACGACTATTATTGCGATGTCTGCGGACGTGCTCGTTCGGGTGTGGAGTGAAGAGAAATTCCGTTTCGATGTTCGTAGGGCTGTCAATGCTGCTATCATTGAATTGCTTTATTGGTTATAAAATTTAAGAGACTCCATAGTAGTTTTGGGTAATAGAAATTTTTATATCAAAGCAGCAAGTAAATAATTATAACTAAAATTCGGAGTTCTTTCTAGAATATTCTATAATTTACCCATAAATATGTGACAGCACTGACAACTTAAAATAGCCGCTTCGCATTGTAGAAATTACAGCAAGAATTTCTCGGGTTATCCTCTGTATTACAAATAACAACAAAACAAACTCCTTGATTTTAGTCCGCAAGCGAACTATACCGACCGAGCGATCGCCGCTTATCAGCGAATTTAGTGCTAAATTTGCTGATAGATGGTGTCATGTTATCAGCGCAACGAATCCCCACGGCCCTTAATTTCGGTTTTCTAGACCGGAGCCGCTATTTCTTTGAAATAGCTCCTCAATTATCCTCACGAGGCTGAGGGGACCGCGTTCCAGATCCACTACTACTCAGAAAATCTAGTAGCGCCTGAAACCGAACCCGGTGCTCTGGATCTGTTGCCAGGAACTCTGACCACTAGACCACAGAGGCGGTTAGCCTTTGTATTAGTGGTTATAATTGATGTAATTGATTACAGTTGGTCTACGGCAGGTTCATTTCATTCTTCTTTGTAGCAGTGCAATTCACATACATGGATTATTTTTTAATTAACTTTTTAATAAGAATGTTTCTTTGAGCTGATGACTTTTATATTGCTGGTAGATAAGATAAAGCATTGTATGAATGTTTGAAAAACTACGCACATCCCGAATGACAGTTAAGAGTCGGAAAAACGACTACAGGTGTTTCAGCGCCAGCTGGTTGATTTGCGAGTTAATGTTGACGCTGGAAGAATGATAATGAATAATTCATTAGTTGTTTCCATATTTCCCTGTTTAGTGGCGCTACCAGTAGGTTTACTGCATAAGAATTTATTGACTCCATGGATGGTGTAGGAAAGATGGATTCATAAACCGAGGACCGAAAAATTTACAGGGCTAAAATGAAATACCGAGGGGTGTCCAAAACATTTCTTACAGACAGTACGTAACTTAATGGGACACTTTAATCTGGGAGAATTTCACTGAAATTTTGAAGGAGATATATCAGAATATTACGCCAGACCAACTCCAATATGAGTGGCTTATGACAGGTTAGCAAAAGAAAGACGAATCCACAAACGTCTGCAGATAGGCTCCACACTTTAGCAAAGCAAACATCGCAAGTTTCTCGAATTGCAGGAGTAGAGATTAAACAAAACATGTGCGGAGAGAAGACAGTTATCAGTTTTTATTTTTCGTTTACGGCCCGATATCTCGAGGTAAGAAAATTTCAGGAAGGCCTAAACCTGAACATTAGAAGGCACGCTGACAATAGCAAACCCAGTCCATGTAACCGCAGAAGCGGAAAAGAAATCTGAAGGTATTTCCGTCGCGCACACCTAAGATGGCGGGCATAATCCGAAACACAAGGAAGTTCGCGAGTCCAATTAATGAAATAAGCGATTCGGTAACTGGGATTTTACTTCCCATAAAGTACAAAGTTATAGCTCAGTCGGTATAGAGACTGGCTACGGGCTGGAGGACGGAGAAGTCGGAGTTCCAGTCCAGGTGAGGCAAGAACTTTCACTCCTCCAATTCGCCCAAACCGGCTCTGGGGTCCATGCAACCTCCTATACAATGAGTACCGGAGGATCTTCCCTCGGGGGTAAAGCGACCGGAGCGTGAAGCTGGCCACTCACCTCCAACTGGTGCCGAGGTCAAGAAAATGTGGATCTATGAATCCATTCCGCCGGTCACGGTAG